ACAGGAATGATCAGTACAAAAGTCTAGTTGTGCATATTGTCAGCATTTTCCGGTTTTAATGATTTTTGTTTGAGTTATGGCCCTTTGATAATTTTATTTTTAAAGTTTGTCCGGACTACTTTTCTCTATACCACTTAATGCAATTTCAATGAAACTTTACAGGATTGAACTGTAGCTCAAGTCCTTGCGCATATTGCACGGGTTTTCCGGTCGAATGATTTTTGGCTGAGTTATGGCCCTTTGATAAAAAGGTGTTTTTTTCTGTGTGTTGCCAGATACGCAAAAGCTTGTCCGGACTACTCCTCATAAACTACAGGTGCAATTTCATCCAAACTTTACAGGAATGATCAGTACCAAGTCTAGTTGTGCACTGTCCGTCTGTCTGTCCGTCTGTCACAAAATTTGTCCCAACATGAAATTGGCCATCATGAGGCGACACATGTGATTACTGATCGCTCTTGTTTAAATATACATCTTTGATTAACCAATCAAGTATGGTTCACAGCTCACGTGCTCTTCCGTGTACCGAAAATAGGTCACGTGCTCCTCCATGCCTCAAAAATGAATCGCATGAAAAATATCAAAATATTTGTCGGGGACTTCGCTTCGTACAACTCAGATAGCCTCGTGCTTCGATGCTCTTCCTAGATTTCAGTGTCATGCGTTTACTAACAATACCACAATATCTTAATAGGGTATAAAGGCTATATCTCATTAAATATTTTATATAAAATTTATCAACTATAAGTTGTATTGTTTCTATAATATTAAGGTCAATTCTTGAAAGAGTTGAAACATAAAATGTCTCTGTTATTTAACACACATAAGCCGCAGCTGCTATTTTAAGTAAGGTTTTTTCTATTTACTACATTAGGCAAAAAACTACTATATTTCTTTAATACAGGCATTTTGGATGTAGTACTTTTCAAAAAACAGAAACAAAAATGCAGCACATATACATGTATAGCTTTTTAGATTTTTTTTTTCATGAGTGCAATATTTTGATTATATAGAACATTATACATGTATTGTCTTAACCTTGATTGTTTTCGACATTCATTCGATTCAAAGTTTGATTTAACAAAATCTTATGAACGCAATATATGCTAGTTGTAATTGAAGTACAAATAATATGTGACACATAAATTGACCTTGCGCTGATAACCGATAAGCCTGGTTCAAAATAAAGGCTAAACCCTTGTTGAAATGAATGATAACGAAACTTGGCTATATACACTGATATAGACAAAAAACTAACAACCTTTAACTGTTAAATTTGTGATGAAACAAACGACCTTGTAAAAGTCAAAACATGCAGGATTTGTCTTGACGTGAGTTAGAAGCTAGCTTCTGTAATAATTACGTTCAGTTATTATACCTCGCGACATATCTTACATAAACTTGTCCACATTTCATTCTGGACAAATACATTGATCAATTTAGGTAAAAAATAAAATAAAATGAACTTTACTGAAGACCGAACAACATACGGCGCGGATTAGTCTGGAGTTCCTTCCCCTTATACTACGTACTACTTTCCGTAGTAAATATCGGCAGGATGTGCTGGCTGATTTAAGTCTGCTATTGGCCGGCTTTGAGATAAATTTATGCACACAGCCAAATACATGTGATTAATTTTTAGAACACAACATACATTTTCATCCAATCAAATTACTTGACGGTAGATCATCAGATAAAGCCAAGCTTATTAATTTTCTGTGTTATGTCCTATATGAAATTCTAGATCATTCAAACCTACATTCCTTGTCTAGGAATTGGGTTTCAGTGTTAAGATCTGCAGAGCATCAACACTGCAACATATAGTAATAGTTAACGTGGAAATATAATTTTCGTCCTTGATAAATGATATTTTTTTCGCTTGGTTTAAGATATTTGTCGGTGTTTGTTTTGTTAGGGTGATTATAACGTGACGTTTCTTGTCTAGAGTCCGAGTAAGTCTTAAAGGCCTCAACAGACGGTAGGATTTAGTTGTACAGCACTAATTAGAGATAAGATGTACACTTTTCAAAGCTATACAACACTTGCATTCAGACGGTAATTCTACACTGTAAGAATCACCTGAGGTTTCCCCTAAAATGGATCCCTTTAAATTGATCCTTTACATACTTTAACTCACTAAATACTTTTTTTCGCCATTGAGTAATGATTTAAAACACCTCCATTTAAAAAAAAAAAAAATATATATTTTTTAATGTGAAGCCTGACCGAGACTCAAAACCTGGGACCCTCGGAATACCGTACTGCGGCTTACTGACTAAGCTATCTGGCCGCCTAACAAACTACCACCCCTCCCCTAATTAGATACAACAATTCAATACCGTGACATAAATCATTTTTCGGAATAATTTTTGGGATTCGAACATAACACAACTTTGGGTCTCCCTGAAAGAGTTCTTCAACATCATTTTACCCATCTTACTACTATGGTTTACCTTTTAGCCCTAATTGTTTCTGGAATTTCATTCATTACACCCATTATCAGGAAGATAATTTGGTTATCTGTTACTTGTCATTTTGTGGGAGGTCCTATAAAAAATCGGGTTAGACAAGATTTTCAAAATAGAACATGTCCTATCCCTTACATCTAGACATAAGGTTTCCGAAATCAAGAAATAGTAGCCTTCACACATTAAGATTTGTCTGTACATCTTAGTTTTAATTGGTGTTGTACTTCAAAATCCTACCGTCTGTTGAGGCCTTAACACTTTCTTGGAGAGCACAGCAGGAGGTCATTTTTCAAGGCTTATAACTCTAGCATAGACTTTGACAGAATTATGGCCCATTTTGATCTTAGAAAAATTTTGATGCATCACCAATCTTTAAAATTACTCAAGGTATTCACTTGAAACTTAATACAAGTCTTAGGGATCATAATATAGGTGAATTTTAAAAAAAAACCGTTGAACATAGGAAATTATTGATTTTGCATGTAACATAAATCTTCAAAACTTCTGTGGGTTTTTTTACTGGAACCGTAATATTTTTCTTTGGGATCAATACCGGTCACTGTCTAAGGACCATAACCCTGACATGGATTTTGGCCCTCCTGGTTTAATATCTGGAAAAAAGTGAAACATGCATAAGTTTTACATGCAACATCAATTTATGATTAATCTTAGTTGTAACTTAGCACACTTACATGAAAGCAGAAAAGGAGGCCACATAAAACCTAATACAATTTTTGGGATAATAATTGAAGGTCATTGTCGAAGGGGTAACAACTTTAACATGGCCCTTTCTGAATTCAGAAAATATTTGGTAAAGTTTTGCTTGCAACATCAATCTTTAAAAAAGGTACAGATTAACTTATAATCTTGAAACTTTATTCATGGTTTCTGAATTACATTTTGAATAAAATAAGGCCAACTGACAATATTCTTTGGTCAATGTTCAAGACTTCTTGTTTGTAAATTCTTACATTACTCAAGCTCTAGTTTTACTAACGAGCATAGGAAATAGTCGAGATTGCTGTCCTTCTGATAGATCGTATATATTTTCATAACATGATGCAGTTTGTTGAAGTTTAGAGAGAAAAAAAACAACCCACACACAAAAACAGCAGGTTTCATGCTTTATTTTCACATTTTTCAGTAGATGATTCTATTCAATGAATATTGACTTATCTAATTAAACGTAAATTCCTTTTCAGCTTGTTGTGGAAAAGGACCCGGCTATGCCTCACCGATGGATGCCATGAAGAATGGCCCCCGGGAGGAGATAGTATACATCCCTTGTATCATACCCCCACAGACCAGATCCAACAGACCTGATTATCTTGTCACGGTCAATGTTGATCCCAAGTCCCCAGATTATTCAAAGGTATTTAAAAAACATGATTATCACCCTTGCCTAATCATCATTATCGCCCTTGGTGCAATATTTATTGATATTGACAAAGAAATTTATAAATGTGAAGGAATAATTAATAAGTCGTTTGAACAGTAACTTTGTTCTGACAATGCTTCTCTATATTAAGAAGTATTTAGATGAACTGTTTACAATGGATTCTTTATAAACAGGCTGTGGTGGCGTGCCGGATTTGTTAATGTGTCGGAACAGTAATCTAAGAATTACAATAACTTAATGTAACATGTAACATATTTCTCTTTCTCTCATTTTAGTCTAACTAAACACTTTTATAAGTTCCAGCATAGTTGGCATATTAAGCCGGATCACGAAACTATGGCGCCGATTTGACTAAATCGAATATGGCCGGACCAAGCCGAGATTTACCGAACTTAGCCGAAGTTTACCGATTATATTAGATTGACTGAATTACTTGAGCATTTGATGAATAAAATACGACAGGCCAGAGTAAACTTTAAGATTATAAGTATCTAAGGATGAACTGTTCACATTTTACTTTTTATCAATACCTCATTGCTTTTGTATCAATTTTAGATAATACACAGAATGTACCTACCACATATCCAGGACGAGGTTCACCACACCGGATGGAACGCTTTGTTCAAGTTGTCATGACGACCCGTCAAAATCACGTAACCGCTTGATAATGCCATGTCCCTCGGCAGCAGCAGAGTGTACGTGTAGACGTTGATCGGACAAATACGCTCCAAGAATACATCACGTAAGTTTAAAAATTGTCGCATAATAAATATACGAAATATATTTAACTTAAAGATTGTTTAAGTCGCCGCCCTTTCCTTTTATTTTACGCCATTTGTAACTTACCGCCTTGAAATGAGGCCGATTCACGAGTTGAAGTCCTGATATATCGAAGTTCCTTACACATTTTCCCTTTTAACTTCTTCTTAACCGGAGTCGTATTGTAAACAAACGATAAACCCCGTAAATTCAACGCATAAAGCTACGTGACGATTAGACATTATAATTAGGCAATGAGCCAATAAGATGATTCAGTTCAGTACGGGGGGGGCATTGCCTTGTTTATCGCCTTGGCGTTATATGATTTTATTATGGCCGCTGATGCAAAGAAACGATGACCCTAACGGTACAACCATACTTTCGTCTACAAACAACAACACCAAAAACATATGCATGACAAGCAATTATCTCACAATAACAATGTTTTATTATTCAACTCATCATTGATTTTTTATTCAATGAATTCAACAAGACATCAAGTACAGCAATAACAAGTTTTATACCTCAGACGAATATTACGTTATACTCGAATTTGGACCGAAGTTATATCATTCGTTTGAAAAAAAACAAAAAAAAAAAACAAAAAAAAAAAAACAATTTATGAAAGCGAATAGTCTAGATTTTTCTTATTTCTACAATATGAAATATATACAATATGTAACTTAGACATATTCACAGACATTCTATCAAAACGAACATTATATAATGTTAATTTTGTAACATCACACATTTTGATTTTATGGAAGTCCATATTACTGACTAAATTTCAGATCGTAGAACCGAGTGAAATGATGAATAAAGGCGGAATGACGACACCACACACAACACATTGCCTGGCTAATGGTGAAATCATGATAAGTTGCCTAGGTGACGCGAACGGTAACAATAAAGGTGTGTATATGACACAAGTATACTTGTTGTATAAATATTAAGGAAAATGGTGCGGCGCTGGGGTCTGTTAGTCATACCGGAAGTTATTGTATTGTAGCTCTGTAAATAAAAAGGGAAGTAACTTTGTTTTATATTTATGTTTAATTTTTTTATATACATTTATAGCCTTATAAAATGGAAACAGTTGGTTTTCTATGTTGCTAGCGCTGTCTGTGGTCCGTGCATTTTCAACAGATTGTGATAAGCTAAGACCAAGTCTATTTTTACTAGTGCGCGAGCGTAATTTTGTTGTCGGGCTATTTTTAGCTGAAGGGCGATATGATATAAATATAACATCAAACTGAGCGTGAATGAATGGAATGGACTCGAGACAAGGGATGTGAACCAAGGCTGGGATTGACGTTATCAATTCCATTATATCACATGTTATAGTTATTTATTTTATTTTTGGTTATATTTTCGTCGCACCAACTAAACTAGCTGGATAGCTCCAACGTCCCAAACTGGACTCAAAACCACAGCGTTGAAGGCCAGTGGCTTGATTATTTGATTTTACGACTTTAATACAAATTTTAATGATTTTAGGTGGATTTGTCGTACTTGACGGACAGACGTTTGAAGTGAAGGGAAAATGGGAGCAAGGAAAAGAGGCCGAGTACGGTTATGATTATTGGTACCAGCCACATTTCAATGTCATGGTTAGCTCCGGCTGGGCTGCTCCAAAAACATTCAAACCGGGATTCAATCCAAAAGACGTAGAAAAAGGTGATATAAACATATATATGATATAACTTTTTGGAATATTTAGTAAAGACTTTTTAATTATAACCTAATAAGTATGCAGAGTAATGACACTTTGCGTATGTGTATGCATGAAAGTTTTCTTGATAAATTATTCAACAAAACATCAATTCTGTTAAGCAGACGACAATTGTAACAATACCCACCATAGCCGGTAGCATTCTTGAGTATAAAAAACGGAGTTTGATAATTGATCAATGCTGGTCCGGTTAGCTCAATAGGTAAAGTGTTGAACTGTGAATCAGGCAATCCGGGTTCGATTCTCGGACGGTGCAGGCCACTGTTGCAATGATTGGTCATGAAATCCTTTCTACAGTCATTCGCACTGTACCTATGCGCTGGCATGTACATAAGTTATCAGTTCCTTGCGTAAAAAATGAAGGCAACTAGTGCTAGTAAAAACTGCATGACAGCCTGCCAAGGAACAGATTGCTGAACTGTGCGCTACTAAAATCATTGTGGCTTACTGCGGGGGGGGGGGGTGCGGTAGACTGCCAGAGGGTAGACTACCAACACCACAGGCGACACCATCGATCAAGTCCCCATTTGTATAATTCATGAATTTCATACCAACAATAGAAAAGATTGCAGAAACACTCAGAAAAAAAATCTAACATTTCCCACGAATATAAAATTGACAAAACTAGGGGAAATTTTGCAAGCTCAGAAATTATTTTTTGTATTACAAGCGAAGATAAGCACTGCGTGGCATTATTAATGGTTTATTGTGTTTTGTAATGTTGGACAAATATTGCAAATTGCAGCACATTATGCATTCGGTATCATTATTATAATAATCAGATTGTTATAATTAAGATATTATGTAGTTTTTTTTCAATTGTTTCTAAAACAACAACAACAACAGCAACAACAACGACAACACCTACAACAACAACAAAAACAACAACAACAACAACAACAACAACATCAGAAACACTCGTTAATCAGATATAGATAAATAATACGTAGCACTAGACTACAAACATGAATATACACTTGAACTACATTTTCTTCATGATGACGATGATGACGATGATTGCGATTATGATGATGAAGATGTTGATGATTTTAAACAAAGTGCATATCGCGAAATGTTAAAAGATCTGTGATAAATATCGATTTTTCATAATATCTTTTAATGCCACCCGTATAGGTGCATTTAGATTTGCCTTTGTTCGTCTGTGTGTGCGTGCATACGTTCCAAAACGTTTTGTCACGTGTAGCTCTAAAAGTGCTGGAGCCAGGGTCAACAAACTTTACAGAATTGTTGATCAGCATGTGAATGAAGTTGTGCACCTTGGGTTTCGCATGTGGATTAATTTATTTTTGTTAGAGTTTTTGCCTTTGACTTAGTAAAAACAAAAAAAATCACACGCATAGCTCAACAAGTATTTGACCTAGAGTCATGAAACTTTATAGGAATGTTGGCCAGCATATGCAGTTGTGCAGCTATCTACCTGACTTTGGGTCGGTGATTTGTGTCAGATCACTACATTTTTCAGGTTCGCAACCATTTCGCGCATTTGAAAATCCGAGATAACTTCAGTATCACCCTTTGTTGTTTGTTTTATATTTTTCTGTGTAGGTTTGTACGGAAACGCCCTGTATTTCTGGGACTGGAAGAATCGTACCATTACCCAGACGGTAGATCTTGGCCCTGACGGTGTGATTCCCCTTGAAGTACGATTTATGCACAACCCGGAAGTTCCACTTGGCTTCGTTGGATGCGCTTTGAGCTCCACTATCAAAATGTTCTTCAAAAACAATGTAAGTATTCAAATACAAACATGTATCTGAACTCATTTCGGGGGCGGGCGTAAAGGGGCGTTTGTGGTCGATTGGTTAAGGTTCTTAAATTCAAATTACTTACCCCTTACCGCTGTGGGTTCGAATATCGTCAGAGACTTTGAATTCTTTTATCTGATGAAGCTATCCATCTAGCTTAAGGAACGTCGGCGATTCTACTCAAGTGTCCGTTCGTGCCTGAAATAAAGCAGGGAGGGGCACCAGATGAGTTTTTCCTCCATTAGTAAAGGAAGAAAGGCGCCATAATTATGACCTTTACTGTACTAGTGCGACAAGAAAAATTATAAAGGATTTATACACAGTCACTTTTAAATTTACAATTAACATGTTTTGACTTCGTACAAAGTAGATATGTCATGCTTTGAACTCTACACGCTACAGGTGGTCACACTATTAATATATAGTGTCATTAAAAAAAAAACTTCCATTTTTTTAAAAGAAAATACCAATTTTACTTGTCCAGTTATAGGGAACACCACTTCAAATACAATTTTTTTTTATTCAGATTAGACATATTCAGTCAGAATTTCATAGATTTTAAAAAAATTGCTGTGAATAAAAGGATGAACATACATGTAGCATATCTTTAAGAATGTAGATTTTATACATAGAACATTATTTCTTTTGAATAAATTCGTAGTTTTGTAATTATGTTTATTGTTTTAGAGCGGAAAGTGGGACGCTAAGACCGTAGTTTCGGTTCCATCAAAAAAAGTGCAGGGTTGGGCACTTCCGGAAATGCCGGGTTTGATTACAGACATTATTCTATCACTTGACGACAGGTTCCTGTACTTTAGTAACTGGTTACATGGTGATATGAGACAATATGACATCACAGACCCACATAACCCAAAACTTGTAGGGCAGGTAAAGTAGACTTCGAAGTTTGGCGGAAAAGGCCGAAAAGTTGCGAACGTATTCGAGGTTTGACAGAAATTACCGAAAATTTCAAAAGTGATGAAAAACATGCCAGAAAATATTTGCGCTGCTTGACGTCGATATAGAATTGCATACAGTATAAGATATAATAAAAAAACAACATGTTTTTAAGGTCACAATAAATTGTACAAATGTCGTTAAAACTGATTATATTTATTTGTCCTTGAGCGGCATGTTTTGTCTAGTTTATAACTGTATTTTGACGTACCTTGACTATTCATTTTCAATTGGAAACTAAAATGTTTGATTGTTTTATGATATTTGTATTGCAGCTATTCCTTGGCGGAAGCATTTGCCAAGGTGAAGGAGTCACTGTAACTGAAGATAAGGAGCTTAAGGTTTGTTTGCTTTTTCATCCTTCCATCCATCCATCCATCCATCCATCCACCATTTTCGTTATTAAGATTTTTGATAGGTTATATCGTCCAATATAAAATGATGTTTGTAATTATATTGCAAGCAACCGTTTATATACGACCGTATTACCTGTCAGGAATATTTATATCGAATTTATAATACTGCAAACATTCTTTTTTACAGAGAAAGGTAAGTTTCTTGATAAATTGACAGCAATCTTTCATAATAAACTTATATAAACGTCATGAGTATCCATTGAAAAGCGACGTTACAAACGTGGAGTATCACAAAGTGTATTACAAAGTGTTATAAGTGTAATCGATATTTATTTTGAGAGGACAGTTTGAGTAATGGATGTATAGAATACGGAAATGAAAGATTCAACTTCCAAACTGCCTGACCAATAAACTGTTCAATATTGGATGACAATGCAACATAAGTACTATGTATATATATCTATTTCTTCTTTACCACGGCCATATTAAAGAACTTACCGAACTCTGTTGATCAATATACATGTACAGCGGAGGTCTTTATTATCTCATTTCATTTTGTGACGTCATATGTAACGTCATCCACGTTTAAACGTTCCTTTTAATTAAATACTATACATATATTGTTAAGAAACGCATTTAATTTATGAATCTGAGTAATATTTTAATAAAGATTTACTGGGAACTATCATAAAATTGTTATTAATGCATTTTATATGATACATATTTTGCAGAGTCAACCAAAGCGGCCTATGATCAAAGGAAAACCAATAATCGGTGCCCCTCAGATGGTACAGCTAAGTTTAGACGGAAAACGTATGTACGTCACAACGTCACTGTTCTCTAACTGGGATCAACAATTCTATCCCGACATGTGCAAGTACGTAAACTATCTACGGAAGAGCATTAGTGCCAGGTGTATGTTTTTTATTAACTCGAAATTTCGAGTTACTAACTCGAAATTTCGAGTTACTAACTCGAAATTTCGACTTACTTATCTCGAAATTTCGAGTTACTAACTCGAAATTTCGACTTACTAACTCGAAATTTCGAGTTACTTATCTCGAAATTTCGAGTTACTAACTTGAAATTTCGACTTACTAACTCGAAATTTCGACTTAGTAACTCGAAATTTCGACTTACTAACTCGAAATTTCGAGTTACTTATCTCGAAATTTCGAGTTACTAACTCGAAATTTCGAGTTATTAACATTACAAGAATGGCCAAAGTTATTAGTTAGATGGTATAAGATATAGTAGGCAGTGCCTTTGAACGATGGAGATGGAGAAACGGGTGCCTGGACAAAAACTATTGAAATTTAACTTAAACTTAGTAATGTCATGTACACACCCGACCTAAAAAAAACAAGGCTTCCTTTAATTTGTACGTTCAGGCGTTCTTCAGACGTTGTATTGTATCTCATCTGTTCGAACATATCTTTTCACTAATCATATTCTTCTCATCCCTGTAAAAAACCGATCCTATACTTCACGTGTGGGACATCTGAGGAAAGTATCGCGGCGTGGCCAAAATAGGGCGTGCTGAGGCCTTTGTCAAAATTGTTGGACTGACTATATTTCTTGTAAAATCGGATGCTTTTAAATTTAAATTATTCCCAACATATATATAACAACAAGTATCACTTTTATCAACTTTTATCAACACAATATCAAAGTATTAGTAAATAATGAATAATGTTACAAAAACATTATTAGTATAAAGAAACGTGACAGACTAACTGGCGTATACACGCCAATTAAAACTTATTTAACACATGATATTGCACAGTTTACAATAGGGTGGGTTTTGGACTTGTTGTTTCTCCACATGATGGTTGTATGTGTGCTTAAGAAAAGAAACACCCGGTTAACACAGAAATGTGGAAAGTGTGATTTTACAAAGCCCCCCCCCCTCCACAAAAAAGCGAAGGATATGTTCAGTATGTGTGGACAATTTGACCCTATAAAATTGTTCTGTTAAATAAATGTTAAAAGTGCTCTGTCAATGTGCAACAGCTACACACGAAAGAAAGTATCTTGAATTCAATCCTTGCTTTCACCGGCAACCAATGAAAGTCGTGCAATGTAAGTCGAAATTTCGAGTTAGTAAGTCGAAATTTCGAGTTACTAACTCGAAATTTCGAGTTAGTAAGTCGAAATTTCGAGTTAGTTAGTCGAAATTTCGAGTTAGTAACTCGAAATTTCGAGATAAGTAACTCGAAATTTCGAGTTAATAAGTCGAAATTTCGAGTTAGTAAGTCGAAATTTCGAGTTAGTAAGTCGAAATTTCGAGCTAGTAACTAGAAATTTCGAGATAAGTAACTCGAAATTTCGAGTTAGTAAGTCGAAATTTCGAGTTAGTAACTAGAAATTTCGAGTTAATAAAAAACATACACCTGGCACTAATGCTCTTCCGTAACTATCATTATCATGCTAATAAATTTCTAGAATTGTTATATGTTAACACGCCCTTTATTATGATAATCCTTCATGATAATCCTTTCTATTGCGTGAAAGTACGGCGTCCTAACTGGGCCAGTGAAAAGTCGCGTGTCGACATAAATCTGTTTGGTCTGTTTGGTCGTCCTGTTTATTTTCATAGATGAAACATCATGATAAAACAGCCTTGAGTTTAATCTTCTTACATCAAATACGCTTTATCTTTAACATCATAAATGCTTTATTTTACATCATTAACGCTTTATTTTACATCAAATACGCTTTATATTTTACATCAAATATGCTTTATTTTATAACAAATACGCTTTAATTTGAACATCAAATGCGTTTTATTTTACATCAAATTACATTTCATTTGTACATCAAATACGCTTTATTTTACATCAAATACGCTTTATTTTACATCAAATACACTATTTTACATAAAATATACCTTATTCTACATAAATACGCTTTATTTTATATCAAATACGCTTTATTTTATATCAAATACGCTTTATTTTGTACACCAAATACGCTTTATTTTACATCAATTATATTTTTAATTTGTACATCAAATACGCGTTATTTTACATCAAATACGTCTCGTGTTTAGCTTGAACCCTTGTTTGGATATATTGTCCCAGATCCTTACGAAAATACAAAAAAAAAACACTCTCGTTTGTCTGCTTCAGACATTTACAATAGTTAACGTTAGGTCTCAATTGCATCAACATTCTGTATTTTCAGGAAGGGGTCCATGTTACTCCAGATTGATGTAGATACAGACAAGGGTGGTCTGACCTTGAACCAAGATTTCTTGGTTGACTTCGGAGATGAGCCCGGCGGACCTGTACTCGCCCACGAGATCCGCTACCCAGGGGGTGACTGCACATCCGACATCTGGTTGTCCAAGAAAACTTTGGCTGAAACAGGTGCCAAAACAATATCCAAAATTTAGACAATCAATATGTATAAAAAATGCAATAAAAAATCCAGTCCGTCTTTTGTGACCTTGAACCTTGAAAATTGAGAAAGGGTTTAGTAACTTTTAATATACATATCGTATTTGTAAATAACGTATAAATTTGTAATGAAAATACGATTTGAGGTGAACTAATGTATAACAAATAGATTAAAATGAAATGTGATATGTGTAAGAGTATACAATGATTTATTACCTCACATACCATAATAATTGATTATTTAAAAAAAAACGTTTATAGTGGATACACACGGTTTGGCCAGTTATTCGGATAATACAAAATTCGGTCATTTGTATAATTGTGTTCTTTATTTTGTTCATTGTTAAACTAGTCAAGCGTGACTTTGTTTTTAATGTCATGTCTTCTTAACATTTACAGGTGAAAAATAAAGAAATGGTAATTAATCATATTTCAAACATCGTGTAGTGTTTTATATTTTATATTGTACATGTACTAACATTGTCTGTGCGGAAGAAAATTTATTTCTACACTATCTTATATTGGTGGATACATAATTTTACTAATATTTGTGTGCTTAGGATTTTTTTCTCTTGCTTTATTATTAACAATATAAATTGGCTGGGTTACTAATTTGCATAAGGCATGTTTTATATACATGTACATATGTATACATGCATCACCTATCAAGCTGTGGTTGATAATTTCTAATCACTTGCTTAGATCTGGCGTGGGACTCTTTCATAAAAGAAGGCTATAAAGCTAAGCGGTTCTAGTCTGATGCCTGCAACGTGCCTGAAGCAATAAGCAAAGGCGTTTTGCCTTTGTCTATAAAACTGGATTGTCGCAAAGGGACTTTAATTTCAATTAACTAACGCTGACTTTTAACGCTGACGTGTTTCGCTCGTGCTTCAGATAACGCATAGAGTGTAGTGCCAAGAGTCGTCTGCCGCCAAAATATCATGGAACTAGGTATATGCATAAAATTATAGAGTTTAAATAGTGCCAATGGGGCGTTTTACTTTACTACGGTTAAAGCCATGGGGTTTAAATACATGTATATGAAAAAATATGTCTATATATTAGGTTTACACAGTTCTGTAAAGGACATTCAAGTTCAGCCAATCTAAAATGGACCAAATACGATCACGAGTTCTCTATCCAACCGACAACGACCGACCTGTTTCACTCTCCATTCGATTTTTGCATCGTTTTAATAAGGTAAAAGTGATTAGTAGATCTACCTCAATTTTCATATTTTTACTGAAATAAGTTCTCATGAAGAGTGTAAAACGAATAAGAAACTAAAATAATTGTATAAACCGGTCTGTAAACGTGTCCTTTGATTAATACCTCTATTATAAATCTGACTATATCAGAGTGTATAATGTAGCTCGGGCTCAATCAATTTATATGTTCGCCAACTTCGGGACGGTGTGGGAGGCCGTGGCGGAGACCCGAGAGACATTTATTTTTGCTCTGGATTGTCATATGAGGGTTATAGCGTAATATTAGTACATGCTGTACGATAAAAAGTCCATGGTGTTAAATAAGTAACTGCGGGAATATAAAAAAACAGTTTTTTTTTTAATTTATTTCACTTTCTTGGAAAATGTGAACGCCATATCCAACATGCGGCATAGGAAGTGAAACCACCAAGTTAAGTCATTTGATAATTATAAGTTTTCCAAAGACATATTATTGGCGATGTTGCCTTAAAATGTATATAATATATAATATATAAATAGCTCAACGCCACTAGAAATTAAGCCTGAATGGCATTGTAGTCAAGCATGGCTGTTTAAATTATGCAATTTGCACCTGTATGCACATTGTCTTGTGTCTGCTTTTTTTCTTTATTAATTTGCTTACAATCTGTGTGCCAGTCTTAACATTTTACACAAGGTGAGTGCTTTTTTTAATCCTTTTTCATTATTTTTCATTATTTTACATTATTTTACATTACCTTTAGTTTTTCTTTTTTGACGTGTTTTCTTTGGTAAAGTAAAGTACCATAATGATTATTATCTTACATGTAGTTGCTAAAATAAACACTACAAATGCAAACAGACGCAGACACACGCACGCACAAGCAGTTACTTGCGCGCATGAATAACACGTCCTTGAAAAGTGCATTTCCAACTTAATTAATTTGTGATATTCTTTAATGAGAGTGTGGCGCCGTTATATGTCGCAACGCCGCTAAATGTCGCACTTGCCGCTAAATGTCGCACCATTGACGCTAAATGTCGCAACCGCCGCTAAATGTCGCAAAATCATTTGACGTTAAATGTCGCAATGTTAACGTTAAATGTCGCACGAATTTCCCTTACCGTTAAATGTCGCAACACTACCGTTAAATGTCGCAAGATGTAATTTTATGTTGAACTCAAGTTTTATTGTTGGATCATATTAATTAAATCTGCCTTCTCAATTTGAAAGCGAGTGAATTTATTATATATGGAACTGCGCTACAATTTAGGCGGCGATAAGACTCATCTTGTAAATAAATGTATATTGTTTTGCATACGATTTTTAGCTGACACAAGTAAATTGTACATATTGATACAATTGTCTAATATTTGAATGAAACTGCAAAATTGGCATTGTTCTGTAAATAGTTTAGTACAATTGTGTCTGTAAAATGGCAGAAAAGATAGGCTGCCTGAGGTGGCAGTCTGATTGCCTAGTTGACTGAGGAGGCAAATTGTCTCGCTGTCGGAAGAGGAAGCCTAAATTGCTGACGACCTGGACCTTAAGAGTTTGCCTAACGCCCTGTAAACCTAACGTTGGTAGCCTAGTATCCTGAGGAGGCCGCCTAACATCCTAACAGCCTATCGATGTCAGCTTTGCAACCTGAAGTTGGCAATCTAACAGCTTAGAGTCGGCAGCCTAGTAGCTTAAAGTTAGTGACTTATATTATAAATATGGAAACAATTTAAAATACAGTAAAATCACTATGAAAGGTCGTGCAAAAGCACATACACATGCATGATTATGGAGAAAAAAAAACGCCTTTACCTTTAGGGCACTTAACTTTGTAGTCTTATAGCCTAAAGCTGGAACCTGGCAGCCCAAAATTGGTGTCATGTTTTAAAAAATGGAACGATCAAAATAATAAAACGACAAGTTGGATTTTTCCTAAAATCTACTTGTACAAAGGGCTTCATAATTTACACATTTATTAATCAATACAATAAAGTTGATCATGGCAAGTAACATAATTATTGCATACATTTTAATCAAGTTATTGCCATTTTCAACAGTTTGAGAATGAATATCGTTAACCTAAACCAGCAAGTTGGATTTATTTAAGTACTGTCTATACTTATATATTCATAATTTCCACACTTACTTATTTAGAAAAAGTTCATGATTGCCATCAATTTTCCCAAGTTATATTCCTTTTTTTCACTTTGAAAATAGGACCTTGTATGGTTAACCTATTCGGTAAGTTGGATTTATCTTAAAAATTTATTTAATGATATCTTCCATATCTGGTAGGTGAAAGCCATTAATGGCCGTGTTTTTTTATGGAGTAAAGTGTCTCTAGTGTCAAGGTCACTGGTGTGAATTTTTTACAACATTTTTGCCCAATAAGCTTTTATTGTTAAGATTATGTATTTCATGTTTAATACAAACATGCCAAGGGAGGTCCTCTTCCTTTGGGTTTAATTGGGGGTCCTGTGGGTAAAGGCCAAAGTCACCAATGCCAAAATAGATTTTTACATGTTTACAGGTGTTTTAACATTATTCTTTTGAAAGATGTATTTTATATTTGGTAGGAACATGGAATTGAGGTCTTCTCCTTTGGATGGAGTTATGGTTCAGTTGGGTCAAGGTCACCAGTTCTAAAATAGATTTCTACACTTTTACAGCCTTTATTTATTGACAAATGTATTTCATATTTTGAAGGTAGATAACTTGCATGGTATTCTTCCTATATATTGAGGAAGGGATCAATGGGCCATGGTCACAAATGCTAAAATAGATTTTAATTTGCAGGATGAAGTTCACACAAACAGTTTATGCTTTTATCAAATTTGCTAGTCGTATGCGTGTTTTTATTTCCATTTTAACGCTAAAAGGGCAGTGGTCATTCATATTATTGTTGCAATAAATTAAAAAGATGTTTTCTTTACACATCTGTTCCATTTGTTTTTGTTTTGAAAAATAAAGTTCTTAAAATTATCTTAAATAAATACACTATTGTGCGTATGTTTGTATTTATGGTCATTTGAACTTCACTATGACGTAGTCGACATGCGCATTTTAGAAAGAACATAAAAGTGGTTACAGATATCTAACCAATATCGTCGTTACATATGTACGAGTATAATTCATGTCTTGTGTTTTTCGAAAAATGTCAGATTTAATTTCAATGAAATATTTATCATGAAGCGTTACAGATTAAGATTTTCATTACAGCAAAGCAATGATATAAAAAGCCTAAATTCTCTGGCCAAAACGGCTAGCTGTCTTCAGCCAAACAGCAAGGCCAATATGAGCTTAATCAATTATTTGTATTCTTATTATATGGTATTTACTGAGAATCTTTCATAGTATAAAGCGACTTGACGAGTAAAATATCACTTGCCACAATGTCAAAGCGTAAATAGTGTTTGACAAATCGTAAAATGTACTAAATCTTGTGTACTTATTTTAACTTTGACATCTGCTTACTGTGTGTGAATTTGCGTTTATTTATACTCCCCACCGGTTGACCATATGGGCGAGTCCTCCAGAAGAGTACACGTCATTTTATATTTTGGAGGATAGCGCAATTACAGATGTAGAAAGATATGCCCCGATTCCAGAAGCTTCCCCTTCTTTAACGTGCCAAGTTGTTTTAGCACCCATACACGGTACATAAAGTATCATCCGAGAGACTGATCAGTAATTTTAGTTGGCCAGCCTGGGAATAGAACCAACAAGGTCGAGGTTACAAGTCTCGCGCTCTATGCGGGCTGGCTGCTTACAAAAATTCCGGTTCATATAATCGTAAAATTCGCTCATATCTAGCACCCGACTGCGGATCGAATACTACATGACCAAAGAGTACTACATGATATGAGCCGTGTCACGACAAAACCAACATAATGGGTTTGCGACCAGCATGAATCCAGACCAGGATCCATGCTGTTCGCTATCAGTTTGACAATGCGGATGCGCAGGCTAGT